AATGTTAATTTAAGTATGAACTTGTTACAAATTTTTTTCCACCCTCTACGAATTTTTTAATGTTTTTACTAGTGTAGGGTAGATTAACCCCTTAAACTCTAAATATTTGCAAAGCTATACGTTCATAGCACTTCTTATATTAGTATCTAATATTAATTTAAGTATGAACTTGTTACAAATTTTTTTCCACCCTCTACGAATTTTTTAATGTTTTTACTAGTGTAGGGTAGATTAACCCCTTAAACTCTAAATATTTGCAAAGCTATAGGTTCATAGCACTTCTTATATTAGTATCTAATATTAAGTTAAGTATGAATTTGTTACAAATTGTTTTCCACCCTCTACGAATTTTTTTATGTTTTTACTAGTGTAGGGTAGATTAACCCCTTAAACTCTAAATATTTGCAAAGCTATAGGTTCATAGCACTTCTTATATTAGTATCTAATATTAAGTTAAGTATGAATTTGTTACACATTTTTTTCCACCCTCTACGAATTTTTTTATGTTTTTACTAGTGTAGGGTAGATTAACCCCTTAAACTCTAAATATTTGCAAAGCTATACGTTCATAGCACTTCTTATATTAGTATCTAATATTAATTTAAGTATGAACTTGTTACAAATTTTTTTCCGCCCTCTACGAATTTTTTAATGTTTTTACTAGTGTAGGGTAGATTAACCCCTTAAACTCTAAATATTTGCAAAGCTATACGTTCATACCACTTCTTTTATTAGTATCTAATATTAAGTTAAGTATGAATTTGTTACAATTTTTTTCCACCCTCTACGAATTTTTTAATGTTTTTACTAGTGTAGGGTAGATTAACCCCTTAAACTCTAAATATTTGCAAAGCTATACGTTCATACCACTTTATATATTAGTATCTAATATTAATTTAAGTATGAACTTGTTACAATTTTTTTTCCACCCTCTACGAATTTTTTAAGGTTTTTACTAATGTAGGGTGGATTAACCCCTTAAACTCTAAATATTTGCAAAGCTATACGTTCATAGCACTTCTTATATTAGTATCTAATGTTAATTTAAGTATAAACTTGTTACAAATTTTTTTCTACCCTCTAAGAATTTTTTAATGTTTTTACTAATGTAGGGTGGATTAACCCCTTAAACTCTAAATATTTGCAAAGCTATACGTTCATACCACTTCTTTTATTAGTATCTAATATTAATTTAAGTATGAACTTGTTACAAATTTTTTTCCGCGCTCTACGAATTTTTTAATGTTTTTACTAATGTAGGGTGGATTAACCCCTTAAACTCTAAATATTTGCAAAGCTATACGTTCATACCACTTCTTTTATTAGTATCTAATATTAAGTTAAGTATGAATTTGTTACAATTTTTTTCCACCCTCTACGAATTTTTTTATGTTTTTACTAGTGTAGGGTAGATTAACCCCTTAAACTCTAAATATTTGCAAAGCTATACGTTCATAGCACTTCTTATATTAGTATCTAATGTTAATTTAAGTATAAACTTGTTACAAATTTTTTTCTACCCTCTAAGAATTTTTTAATGTTTTGTTTTTAGTGTAGGGTAGATTATACCTTTATATTTTAAATATTTGCAAAGTTATATCTTTGACAATTGGGTACTAACCCTTTAACCCTATTTTTTTTAGTAATAAATTATAATTTCGAAGTATTTATATGGTCCACTGTAAAAATTCGTTTCTCATTTCTGAAGCTGATGCTAACTTCAACGACGTGCTTAACACTTAAAACAGTTTTTCACTATTAACCTCAAATTTGAAGCATTTGAAGTTTTTATTTTTATCGTTATAATAGTTAATAGTTATTAACGTCATAAGGCCGATATGTAGCAAATCGGCCGTGTGTCGTTCAAGATTTTTCGTCATCCGATCATCTGGAAATGATATATTTTGACTTCATAAAGATCCATCTTTTCGTAATAGTTAAATATAATAATTATCTTGATCATGGTATGCTTATGGTCACATCTTAGCGGTTGTCATGGACGCAACTACTTAAAAGTAAACAATTCGTTAAAAACGCGTGCTGAGAAGCTGTACGACGTTTTTCCAAAAATATGCACCAAATTGAAGGAAATATCAATATTCCTCCAGACGTATTAGCAGATTCCATGGCTGCAAGTGTTGATTTGCTACCAGAAAAAACAGGGAGCGATATCATAAAGAATACGAAGATTTCAAGTGATGGCTTAAGATTAAGAGGATCAATTTAGTAAATGAAGACGTGTTATTAGCGTACGTAAAGGGAAAATCGGAAATGTATTCGCTCAATTCATTATGGACAAAAGTTTCGAAGCGATTAAAAATCACCACTATTTCAAAGTTCCGATGGAAACGCTGAAATTACAACATCCATAGCCACTGCTTCTTCATAAAGTGTAATTTCCACAGGTGCTAGTGGTCCTCAAGTTTCCTACGATGGTCTACAGATTTCTAGCAATAACTGTCACTTTAATTTTCATATCCATTATAATAAGTAGTTGTGTATATTTCAATAAAGCATTGTTCCTTAACGGCCGCATATGCGTCCGTTATTTTTTAACGGACGCCGTCCGTTACAAATGACATTTCACTTGTCAAATGAGTTGAGTTAAATTGAAATAACAGTATGGGATGACGAAAAAGAATAAAACACGTTGAGCACGTGCATTAATTGAAATGGGAAATGGCAGTCGCCACAGACCATGCAGTCGCCGGCCGGGAGGTTACCATGCGATGCGACGCACAATGATGTGCGCAACGTAAATGCGCGGGAAGCTTAAAGGCGGCTTTACACGATGCCAGTGACTTGTACAAGTTACTAAAATCCAGCACTAGATTTTAGTACTTGCCTAGTGTAAACATATATTTTAGTACTAAATTTCAGCACTGGTTTTAGTAATGATTCCAGTACAGTGAATAGAAACCACTTCTATTTACTGGAGCAAGTGAGGACCCCCACTCTCACTATCCTGTTAACTAAACCTGTGTAGACGCGCTTGGCAGTGTGATTCCAGCGATTGGTTTTAGTAAATTAACGAACGAGTAGTTATCATTTAACAAAATGTGCGCAAAATGGACCGAAGACACCACAGTGAAATTTGTAGAATTATATAGAGACGAAGAGTGCCTTTGGAATACACAGCTGGTTATAGAAATAAACAAGCACGTGATGCGGCTATAAAAAGAATTGTGGAAGCAATGGGTACTGAGGATTTTGGCCCACAAGAGGTAAAAAACAAAATAAAAAACTTGAGATCGACGTATGTACAAGAGGTAGCCAAAATTAAAAAATCACAAAGTTCTGGAGCTGGAGTAGATGAAATATATCAACCAAAAATGAAGTGGTTTTTAGTAATGAATATGTTTCTAAAAACAATGGATAAAAGGAGGGCAACATGTAGTAATATGGTAAGTAATTGTACTAGAAGCTACTATATATTTTTTTTTATTTAACAGTAAGAGAATAACATATGACGAAATTAAAAAACCATTCGTTCCTGCCACGAGACTGCTCCTGTAGTCATAAAATAATGTTTGTATTTTTCTCTTAAATTTCGGGCAAAATGTGATGAACGGTTGCCTCCTGCACGTGAGACTGATGGCAACCCAGCCACTTCTGACCTCCAACTTCCAAGAATAATTCTACCTTAATCAATATCTTCATCATCAACTGATCCTTTTGGTAAATAATTATTTACAGAAGTGCATCTAAGCCAATTATGCAGGGCACAACATGTTCTGACTATTTTGTCCACTGATGATAGTCCACAACCTATTGGTTTTTCAAATATTCGAAATCTGGACACTAGAATCCCAAAACTGTTTTCCACAATTCTTCTTGCGCGGGACAATCTGTAATTGAAGATTTTTTCTTCAGCAGTAAGTGCATTTTTTGAATATGGTTTAAGTAAATAATGCTTCAACGGAAAAGCATCGTCTCCAACAAGAAATCCTCCATCGGGTAATATATCTCTTTCCAAGGCAGCAAATATAGAACATTGCGCAAAAACTCCTCCATCCGATGCTCGTCCATTGTAACCAACGTCAATGTATGTAAAATTGTAATTTCCGTCTACAATAGCCATCAAAATAATACTGTTTTGTCCCTTATAGTTAAAAAAGTTGCTGCCACAATTCTCAGGAGCGCGGATGAGTATGTGTTTTCCGTCAATGGCACCATAACAGCCTGGAAAATTCCATCTATGGTTGAAATCGCTTTCAATAGCTTTCCACTCTTTGTTACTTTTTGGCACCTAAAACAAAAAATATGATCCTATTTCTCTATCACACCGTGTATTATATTATGTACTTTTAGTTAATGTTTTGTGCGCCTGAGGAATGGCAACCTTCAGAGCACGCCAAGCACGTGTGAGAAGGTGGCGCCCTCAAAGGCATAGATATAGGGATAGACTGATGTAATGTCATGGAGGATGGTTTTGAGTTTTGTATTTAATATACGTATTGTTCAAACCAAGGCTTTTTTATTGATTCTCTATCAACTAAAACATGGTGTCAGGTCTAGAGGGAAGGTGAAAATCGAATCTGGTGTGTAAACGTGAGGAAAATGGCGGAGTCAATGTTTAAACCACCTGAAGCATTGAACTTGGACGGCAATGTGGCAGATAATTGGCGGCTTTTTAAGCAAAAGTTTGATAACTTTTGTGTGGCAACAGGATTGAATGAAAAAGAGGATTCCAAGCAACTGGCAGTATTTTTGAACCTCGTTGGCGATGATGGCTTGGAGTTATTTAATAGTTTCGATTATGCTAAGAAGGCTACTTTGAAGCTTGTCAAGGAGGAGTTTGAAAACTATTGTGCACCAAAGAAGAACGTAATCTTTGAAAGGTTCCTTTTTAATAGCATCACACAAAAGGAAGGGCGGTCGTTTGATTCCTTTTTGACGGAGCTGCGAAAGGGAACCCACATAGCACAAAATATCGTCAAAATGTTACTATGCCATTTATGAACCAATATTTAATAATTAAACGTTATTACAATATTACGTAAATATTGTACTAGTAATGATTCCAACAAAATTTTCTGTAAATATTTATAAAATGTATGTAAATATATATTAAATATTTCCCCAACAATATTGTATAAACATGACTAATTTAATATATTATTAATATGTATAAATATTAACAAATAGCATACTAATGTTTGAAAAATATATATACAAAACTATGGCGGGGAATTTTTCACGGCTGCGCAGAGCGAATGTAGTTTGCGTTTGCACTCGATGGTCGCCATCCGTTGATGGTCTGTGGCCGCCATTAAATTTACGTGTTTTGGTGTTTACGTAGGTGCATTTTTTTAAATTAATCGTGTCGTTAAGTACCCAAGAATTATAAATTGCAAGGTATGTCTTAAGATTCACTATTATTTACTCTTCTTTGTATAAAGGTTATTCATTAAATTGCTTACAATAACCATCAACATAACCAAAATAGTTTGTTTTCCTTGTGTTTTTCTACAACCCACAAAATGTCATTAATCTTACGATACGGACATCGAATTCGTAAAAATCTTAGCTATTTACCTATATCAGCGGATAGGAATGAAACTGATTTTGTCGTAAATAGTCTTCAGGATGCCAAATCCGAGAGCAAATCGATCAAAAAGGCAAACAAACCGAATCTTGCATAAACAGGTAAATGCAGCAATGCTTGAAATCAAACAATCCGCAGCTAGTCGTAACAATATTTGTGTTGCTACTGAGCCCCATAAGAATAAACCATTGAAGATTTCAACCCCACATCATGACGATGATATCGTTTGTATCGAAGTTCCTACCGAAGATGCAGGCCGTAATGAATTAGTCAGTAATATCGATAGTTTCGATGGTAAGTTGTTTTATGTCTTAGATTACACATGCCAAGTAACTAGTGTAGTTAGTCAGATTCAGTAGTATCACAGATTTATTATTTAATATTCTAGAATCTTCTCTCGATGATAATGCATTTGAGGATATTATGGAAGTAAATGAGACTGAGTTTTCGGTGAATGATTCAATAAATGAAATGCAAACTTTAGATGAAAAATTGAGGGTGTGGAGCACAGAAGAAAATGTACCTCATTCTACATTTAGAAAACTCCTAGAAATTCTTAAATCAGAAAATGATATAAATGCATTTAAAAATCTACCAAGAGATCCCCGCACCCTATTGAACACACCAAGAAAAGTATTGGTGAAGACATTAGATAATGGAAGTTTCTATTATTTTGGCATCTCGGACACTTTAAATAATTTGTTATTGCAATTAAAATATACTATACCAGTTAACACACCGCTAATTGAAATAATAGTTAACATTGATGGATTACCATTAACATCTAGTTCAAACAGTTCATTATGGCCAATATTAATTAAAATAGATTCCTTATTACATATTAAAAATTATGTTGTAATGGTGGCTGTTTTTCATGGATATTCAAAACCTTCTTCAGCCAACGAGTTCTTGAAAGACTTTATTGATGAAGCAGTGAATTTATCAAATAAAGGTATTTTTCTTTCTGGGAACAATTATCCTTTTCGAATCAAAATGCTGGTTTGTGATGCCCCTGCTAAATCATATGTTTTGAATGTCAAAGGACATACTGCAGAAACTGGCTGCACCAAATGCTATCAAACTGCTGAAAGAATTAACAATGTAATGTGTTTTCCATGGACAGCTAAGCGGAATTTACGGAGTGATTATGAATTTAGGAATTGCTCTCAAGATAATCATCATCAGGGTACGACTTTGTTCACAAGTTTACCAAAATTTGACTTAATCAAAGATGTGCCTCTTGACTACATGCACTTAGTATGTTTAGGTGTAATGAAGAGGTTACTATGTCATAAAAATTTTGGTTGGATTCAAGGAACTTTTTTACACAAACTTTCTGCAACTCAGCAAGGTGAAATATCGAAAAATCTTAAAGATTGTAATAATTTTATTGTATGTGAATTTTCTAATAGAAAAGCTAGATCTTTACAACATTGTGCACGTTTTAAAGCTGTAGAGTTTAGATTGTTATTATTATATACAGGACCTGTTGTATTTAAGAAATTTCTCAAACCTGATTATTATTATAATTTTTTAAATCTGTATATTGCAATGCGAATATTGAATAGTGAGGATTATGGTACATCTACAGATATGTTGGTATATGCAAAAGCTCTTTTGGATGCCTTTGTTAAGGACAGCGGAAGAATATATGGCCCTGATTTTATATCATTTAATGTTCATAATCTTCTTCATTTAGTAGATGATGCTGAAAGATTTGGGCCTGTACATAATTTTTCAGCTTTTGATTTCGAAAATTATATGCAGATACTTAAAAAGTTAGTAAGGAAACAAGATAAACCTATTCAGCAAATAGTTAAGCGTGTGTCTGAACGAATATCTTGCAAGATAGATCGCCCTCAATTTTTTATGGAGTATCCCCAGTTTTTAAATGAGCATTCAAAGGGTCCTCTGTTAAGACATTGTTGCTCACCACAATTTATGATTGCAAAACTTAAAGGTTACACGTTTAAATTAAATTTAAGGGATTGTTATGCTTTGTTAAATGATAAAAATTTAATTAAAATTTGTAATTTTGTTACTCTTGGAAATGCCATTTGTGCCATTGGCCAATCTTTCACAAAAATTCGACCTTGGTTTAATAGACCTTGTTCATCGGAATTAGTGGGTGTGTGGTGTATCAATATAAACCATTTTAGTAATCTAAAAATGTATAATATCAGTGATATCCGTTGTAAGGTAATGATATTACCATATAATGATAATGAATATATTGCAACTGCTTTGTTACATTTGTAAGATATTGGATGTAAAAATTCACAAGGAAAATTACTAACTTGTCAGTTTTATTAATACTTATATCTTTTTGCTACATTTAGTATTATTTATTATGTATATTATAGTATTAACTTCTGGTTGGCAACATGCAGTGGTGTGTAGTGTTTTTCCATTTTGACAAAACAATTGAAGTAGTACCGGAACATTGGGTGTTCGATGATGACAACACCATATGCCATTTTCCACCTGTCAAAGGTTTTAGACTTTATGAAATTATTAAAAGTGGCACTTCTCCAAAAGAGGATTGGAAGGTGTATGATGTCAATATGTTAGCAAAATATGGTTTGTATTAGTTTTGGTTCCCAATCACAAAATTTTGTTAATCTACATTTAATTTTTAGATGATTTTACATATGCCCAAACACAATGTGAAGCAGCTAGAAATGGGAAGAAAATTTTCAGCCAAAAAACAAAGACAATGCTTGATGGCATGGATGGAAAAGGACAGAGAATACGTAAACCTAATACAAAATTTAGTGAGTTTATGAACATTAATACAGATGACGAAGAATTAAATACTAATATAACATTTCCAACATTTAAAGGATCTAGTATGTATACACATTCCCCTATCTAAAAATTATTAACTTGATTGATTTTTAGATCCGAAAGAGTGCAAACAAAATACAGCAGGTAATATTGTGCTTTAAACTTCCGAGTTTGTATTTCATTGTTTCACATTTTAGATAACAATAAAGTAACAGAGAATGTCCCAGAGGATTTCTATACAGAAAGTGATAATGTATTAGAACCCTATACAGCACAGAGTGAAACTAGTGAAACTTCACATCATTCCAGTGCGTATGTTTCCATGATTTTAAATTTTATTTTTGTAATTTTCAGATATAATGGATAATATATCTCTAATTATAAAAAAATTAGAAGATCTAGATTCAAAAAATGAAGGTGACATTTTTTGTTTAAGTACCGACTGCTAGTCAGATATTTTACAATATATTTACAGAGTTTCAGCGTAAAGTTATGAGAAATCAGTATGCTCTTCAGCATAAATTAAATGACTTGGAACGTGTAATATCGGAATCTGCAAATATAAGAAAATCAAACATTAACCAAGTAACAGATGAGGAATCCGAACAGGTTCTTTCTATTTGGAAATTATTTCCACTTGATAGCGTACAAGCCTTGGAAGACGTGGAAAATTCTTTAGCGGACCAACAGCTGCAACAACATTTGGTTGGTAGATGCACTATACAAACATAATTCTTATAATTATTTTTAAGGCTCTGAAGTTTTCATTGGTAGGAGGAGAAACGGCAAAAGATATAACACGAAGAATATTATATTTAATGTTAACAAATGATGTGGCAAAACTGTATAGTTTTGACGGAGCAAAAGGAAAATTAAAATTTAAATCTTTGAAACTGTATCATTTGTTATTAGGTAAGTTATAGCAATGCATTTTTAACTCATATTTCTCTTTACCTATGTTTTACAGCATCAATTCGGAAGAATCAAAAAACGCATGACGCAACAGAAAGCGACATACTACCAGAAACCAGGCAGTGGCTGGCACAAGCAAAATTTAGGAAACAAAAATAATTTTATACTTTATTTTTGTTTTAAATACTTACAAAATAAAATCCATTTTATTGAAATCTTTTGAGTAATGTATGTACTCGTAGAAAACCACAGGTGCACCCTTTTTAAATGATAGTAAGCTATTTAAATTTTGTTTCAGCCTTTGGTTAAATTTGTACCTTTGTAAATAAGAAATTTGTTAATATTTACAAAGGTGCAAGTTGTACTGAAAGCTCTAATAAAATGTAAGTAGGTCATCAAAATCAAAATGCAGGTTTAAATGTTTATGGAATATTAAGAAATATTTGGAACAATATGATATAAATGTATTACAAACATTATAACAACATTATCAGAAAGTATGCCAATATTATGATAGCATTTATACATGTTTTACAAATATTTAAAAAATATTTTAGTAAATGTGTAGAAAATATTAGAAGTGGGACATCTAGATGTTTCCTAAATGTTTTGAAAAGGTTTGGAGGCAAATGTTAAATATTCTACCAATATTTCATAGATTTGAACAAAATCTTTATTATATGTTATAGATATGTTGGTGTGCTATGTGGGAATCAAGACCACAAACTACAAGGATTCCGATGACATGATTCGTGATAGGATTGTCATGGGAGTATCGAGCAAAGAAGTGCGAGAAAAGCTGCTGAGGGAATCGGATTTAACGTTGACAAAAGCTATCACGTTTTGTAGGGCAGTGGAGGTTAGCAGAACGCAAGTCAAAGTCCTCGAAAACGAGCAAGAACTGTCCCTCAATGCAGTGCAGAGGAGAACTAAGTTTAATTATAAATCGGCTGAAACACATTCATGTCAATATTGCGGCTTTGTGCATCAAAAGGGCAAATGTGTAGCATTTGGGAAGCAGTGTAAGAAGTGTTTAAAAATGAATCATTTTGCGAGTGTGTGCATGCAAGTGAAAAAGCAGAGCAATGTAAGTGATAATAAAAAAGTGCATAACGTTCGCGAGGAGCAGCAGCCTGATGACGATGACCAGTTTTTTGTGAGCGCAATCACAAAGCAGGTTCGGTGGCTAAAAAGCAATGGCTCACCTTCATGCGAGAAGAATTGGATGGAAACAGTCAACGTCCAAGGTCAGCAAGTCCAATTCAAATTGGACACAGGTGCGGAAGTAAGTGTCTTACCGTTATATTGGGTTCAGAGATTGAAATGTAATAGAATTATTCATAAAACGAATGTCACGTTAGTTGCATATGGTTGTGATCAGTTTAAGATAAAACCATAGGTCAAGTGACATTGGAATGCAAAGTAAAGGATGTATCAGTCAAAATCTTATTTATTGTTGTAGATAATCAAAATCAGTTGCCGTTGTTGGGTTTAAATGGCTGTATTGACTTACACTTAATAAAACGGGTTGATATGTTATCTTCATTAAAGTTCACTTCAGTAGAAAAGATTGTTAACCAGTACCCGATGGTTTTTGAAGGCTTGGGAGAGTTTCCCTCACCTCATAAAATTGTGCTAAAGAAGGACGCAGTTCCTCATTACAGCCAATTAGACGAATTCCGCAGGCATTGTATTCTAGAGTTAAAGAGAAACTTGTACAGTTGGAAAAAGATGGAATCATTACAAAGCAGGATAAGCCGACTGAATGGTTAAATCCACTTGTCATTGTAGAGAAAAGTAATGGTGACTTAAGACTTTGTTTAGATCCTAAGTACCTTAACGAAGCCATTAGCAGAGAACATTTTCTTATTCCAACTGTGGAAGAGATAGCGAGTAAATTGTCTAAGAAATCATATTTCACGGTGTTGGACATGAAAGATGGTTACTTTCAGGTAAGAATTACAGACGAGAGTTCAGAGTATTGTAGTTTTGGAACGCCTTTTGGGAGGTATCGGTTTCTTCGCTTACCCTTTGGCATTAAATCGGCTCCAGAGGTTTTTCAAAAAAAAAACTATGAAGTTTTCGGAGACATAGATGGCGTTGGGATTTATTTTGATGATCTAATAATTACAGGAACGACAGAGCAGGAGCATGATGAAAAGTTACGGTTAGTGTTGGAACGTGCTAAAAAATTTAATATCAAATTTAATCGCAATAAAATTCAGTTCAAATCGAGGCAAGTTAAGTTTATGGGCCAATTGTTTACAGAGAAAGGGATAGAGCGTTGCGAATCGTACGTTAGGGCAATTCATGAAATGTCTAAACCGCAGCAAAGAAATGATGTATTAAGATTTTTAGGAATGGCAAAATATTTGGGTAAATTTATTCCAAATTTGTCTAAAATTTCGGCACCTTTACGTCAGTTAACAAGAACAGACGTAGAATGGATCTGGACGGACGAACATGACAAAGCTCTTACCCAAATAAAGCACTTGCTTGCCAATGCACCTGTTCTGGCGTTTTTTGATTCAAGCTTAGGTGTAGTAATTGAGACCGATGCTTCTAAAGACGGCTTAGACGCGTGTCTGTTACAAAATGGGCACCCTGTAGCTTTTTGTTCCCGTAGTTTAACCAATAGCGAAATAAAATACGCTCAAATTGAAAAGGAAATGCTAGCGATAGATTTTGCATGTCAAAAATTTCATTATTTGATTTATGGTGTTCAAAATATTTCTATCAATACTGACCATAAACCGCTAGTATCCATTTTCAAGAAAGATTTGTATGTTGTTACACCTAGATTGCAACGTTTACGTCTAAGATTATTGAAGTATGATTTGGATGTTAGCTATAAACCAGGAAAATATTTGTACATTGCTGACACATTGTCAAGGGCTTATTTAGTTACCCCGGGGTATGATGATCCAGATCTTGAATATGCCATTCATACTCTTGTAAATTATTTACCAGTCTCGGATGAAATCAAGTCTCTTTTAACGCAAGGTACTCAAAGAGACAGTGATTTGTCAATGGTTATGGGCTATATCAATTGTGGTTGGCCAGAAAAGGACAAAATTCCCATTAACCTGCGCCAATATTTTAAAATTAAGGATGACTTGATAATTTGTGATAAACTACTATTTTTCGGCAATAAATTGATTATTCCTAGCGACTGTCGTTCATTGATGATTCAAAAGATGCATGAAAGGCATATCGGGATGGATAAAATGAAGCTACGGGCGAGGCAGATTTGTTATTGGCCTTTAATGAATCAGGAAATTGAAAACTTTGTTAAAAAATGTCAAACATGCGAAAAATTTGCTAGAAAAAACGTTAAAGAACCGCTAAAGCCATATTGTATTCCTACTCGGCCGTGGGAAAGGATATCCACCGATATATTTTCTTACGGAAATTGTGTCTATCTTGTGGTATATGATGCCTATTCAAATTGGCTTGAGCTTGTCACCTTAAAAAATAAGTCATCTTCTCAAGTAATTTTGAAATTGAAATCTATTTTTGCCAAATTTGGATGTCCTGATATTATGGTATGTGACAATAATCCTTTTACTAGTTTTTCTATGCAACAATTTGCAAAGAATTGGAATTTTAAAATTGTTCCGAGGAGTCCACATTTTCCTCAATCAAATGGTCTTGCAGAGAAGGGTGTTGACATAAGTAAGAGAATGATCAAAAAAGCACATGAGGAAGGAAAAGACATATTTGAGTCGTTATTAAACTATCGCAACACCCCTCTTAAATTTATTGATTATTCTCCCTCACAACTAATGATGAGTCGCATGTGTAAAACCAAATTACCCATTTCGGCAGATCTTTTGAACCCTAAACTTTGTGAAAGAGTAGATGATAAGTTACGGTACAGGTCTGAGAGAAATGAAACTTATTTTAATAAAGGTGCTAAGCCATTATCAGACATGAACGCAGGTCAAAATGTTACAATTTTTAATCACGTTAACAAAAATTGGGAGCCTGGCCAAATTGTGAGTAAGCATGATAGTCCACGATCTTATAATGTTCAGATTAATAGTGGTGAGACAGTTAGAAGAAATCGTGTAGATCTAAGAAAATCACATAACGAATTTGATATTAAGCAAAATTGTTCTGATTTGCCGGAAATGGTGGATGATGATAACAGCTATAGCATTAGTAATTCTGGGGTAGATCCAGTAATAGGCAAGCGGGAAACAATTGTAAAAACTAGAGTAGGTCGCGTGGTAAAACCTATACAGCGATTAAATTTGTAATCTTAAAGGGGAAAGATGTATTATATTATGTACTTTTAGTTAATGTTTTGTGCGCCTGAGGAATGGCAACCTTCAGAGCACGCCAAGCACGTGTGAGAAGGTGGCGCCCTCAAAGGCATAGATATAGGGATAGATAAAGTCCCTAGATTAGTAGAGTACCGCAATTGACGCCATTTTGACTCCAACACTTTGGTGGGAAATTTGAAAAGACGTCACATAAACACAATCAATAAAACGCAACACAATAAACAAAATGTTTTGATATATTTTATGCATAATATGAACATATTTATTATTTTACATTTTTAACTAGAGCTCGCATCGCAACACTCCTACTGCTACGAGTATTTTCAGTTACATTAATTTTTTTCATTTCAACATCATTGTGATTTTTTAATGCTAAGAAAAATCTAGTTCTGAAATACAACGAAACAATATCATCTATTATGTTACTATGACAAGTTTCTGCATTAAATTTAAAATTAAATAAAAATGTTTTTGTAAGTACTTCTAAATTTACTTGGTTTTCTAATAATTCTAGCCTGTTTCCTAAAGAAAGTTTCTGCAATAAGAATATAATCAAAAAGTTGAACCTTTGGGAATAATAATACATTTTCTTTGTATTCTTTTAATTGGGTCAGTTTAATAATGTGATCATTTAGATTGCTTGACATCACTGTGATAGATTCAATGCATTTGGAGCACTTTTTCTTTTTTTTTAATGAAAATATTACACTCCCTAATAAATAATATAATGACTGTTTAACAGCTTCATTGAGAACGAGCTCATCTTCATCTAGTTTGATTTCCGAACACGAAAAAATCTCCACTTGATCCTGATCTTCTGAATGATTTGGTTTTTCTTTACAATAATTTATTAAGTGACTTCTATTGTCAGTAAAATAATTACCTCGAACAATTTGGCACTCATACTGTGATAAAGTTATTAACCTCAATGCAACTTTAAATTCATGTGGTCCTGGGACTGGTGTTCGACTGCGAATCACAGAAAATAAGTTCTCAAGGGCATCTTGAGTCAGTCGTCCTAACAATACAAAACGGAAGCCATGGACCCTTAAATAATGGTCCTGTAAGTCCAAGGAAGTTTGGGTTGCCAAAACAATTCCACTCTGAAATGGTTTCCATTCTCCTTTATCAATAGTAATGTTATAAATGATGTCCATAAATTGTTTCAGAAAAGTGAGGGCTTCTTCATACACCTCAGGATTATTTTCAGACAATCCAAGCTTGCTGGATCTCGAAGTTATAATGCTGAACCACCTATATATTTGTTTACAAAACCACGCTGTTGTTGCACAATTGTTGTGAAGAGCTCCAATTGCAATGTAATAAGTAATGGCAGCAGCTGTGTCATTGTGAAAGAGGGCGTATGCTGTGTTGATATCCATTTTTTCAAAATGTCCAGGTTGGAACATGTAATCCTTAAGACGGTATGCCATTTTTATCTCATCTTGAGAATCAAGATCAAAAACTTTCTTTATAGCAGAAATCTTTATATATTCTGAAGGCAGTTTGTATTTATTTTTAATTGCATCAGAAATTTTGAATATTTTGTGACGCACTAAACTTGTAGCAACGTTTTTGAATGCATGGACTGGATCTGGCATTACATACAACCTTTCATTTTTGTCACACGGGTGTGCGCAGTAATTCTTCACCTTTTCATGACGACCAGCAGTAATATGAAGCAACCGCCAGAAACTGCGGTTTGCAGGTCCAATGTCGGATATAATAGTTGTTATAGTTAATCCTATATCGTGTGACTTCCTAACTATGTAATATAATTTCTGTAGAACCTCGTCAGCACTGTATGAAGCTGCAGTAAGTTCGTAAGCAACCGTCTGTTTCCACCGCATAGTCATTCCTGCTAGCATAAAAACTAAGGCATGAGTAGCCAGTTTGTTTGAACTATCCTTATTCCCAGAAAGCATCATTGTTGGTCTTCCCACAACTTCCTTTGTAGAATTATCATATTGTAAACCCGGTTTTATTGCTATTTCATCTAATAAGAGGGAAGCATACTTTTCTTGATTTTCAAACGCATTGACCTAAATATAAATTAGAAAGGTTTATAACATAACACAATTATTATTGTTTTTACTTTTAGTTTAAGAAGCACGAATATATCTTCTAACACACCTGCTTGAACTTTAAAGTTCTGGATTCTATGTTGCAATGTACGAATACTGGGAAGGGGATATTGTTGCTTGCAAAGTTCTTGATAGCCTTTTGCTCCACAAGCCATGTACAGTTTAAGAGCTCTCTGAACAGTTTCATCAGACCACTGATAGCCTCGATGGTTCTTGTATTTTAACATATGTATTTGATCCGCGTTAAAAATCACTTTCAACTGTTCTTCAAATTGTTTTACTTGGCTTTCTAAAGTATGAACCTTTGCTTGGGAAGCTTGTAATTTTTGTTGCAGTCTTTGGAATTGTAAATTGGTGACATACAACTCTTCATCTTCATTATTACTTGCTTGCGGCTCTTCTGCAAAAGAAAAATAAAATTTTTGCAATTTCTAATAAAATAATTCTCATTCAATTGCACAAATTCTTTATTTTTCGTTTATTAAATAATGAATTTGTGCAATAATTTACGGGTGCACTGTGCCTCTTTGCATTGATATTAAAAATGTTTGCCTTACAAAAAGTATAGTTTGTAACTCGCACAAACTGGCAATTTTGCACCAATATGAAATGCAGCACTCGCCTTCGGTCGCTGCAACTTTTCATACTCGTGTAAAATGAGCCTCACTTTATGGTTGTTGCATAATACATATACTATCAAAAACAAACAGAATTAAAACAATGAACAAACTAAACTCATATACTACCAAATTGCACTGAACTCTTTGGCACGTAAAAAATATTTGTTGTAGAGCGTAACACCGTCAAAAGTTTAATAAGTTTCGGAGATTCGTTTATTATATATGTAACAGTTACCTGATGATTCATTTTGAATATTAGAAGTGGATGGTGTGCCTTTCTGAAGTTCTTGAGTGAACATTGTGTGATCTGAAAATTTTTCATATGATAAGAAAAGTGTTTCATGATAATTTTAAACTAAAAACAATCCATTCGACCTTTTCTTTTTAAGATCTTCTACAGTAATTGTGGGAACAGCAGTTCTCTTCAACAGCTTTTTTCTGTCAATTCGGTTCAACTCATATTGTTTATCGTCAAAATGCGCCTGCAAATAATACTACTTAAATATTTGTACTTTTTAGTGATTTAAAAAGAGGAAGTGGCTGTTTATACGTCAGAAGGATATGCAATTCGGTATAAGTCCGACGTGAAAAACATTATTTCAAAGAATCACAGTAAAGTGAGTCCACTTAGTTTGATATGGGTTAGTCCTCGGCGGGCCGACACTTAGGCCCTAGCTAGCTGGAGCTGTAGGCCAAATCATCGACCGTTTATCGACTTTCATATACACCAGACGTATAAAAAGTCACTTTGTTAAAAACGAGGGGTTAACCACTGTGCGCAATACTGTCACAAATTCTGTCGCAATCCCCCGAAATCGCGGAAATCGCTATGGAAATCGCAAAATCGCGTGGAAATCTTGTGAAATCGCGTGAAATCGACCGGCAATCTTGCGAAATCCCGCGAAATCCGTTAATTTTTGGAAATCGGAGCCTCACAGATAACCTTGAGTTTCAAGTTTCAACCAATCATAGCGTTCCAAAAATTTCCCGCGTGATTTTCAGCGCAATGCGTAACGGAAGTGTTAACTTTCTGCAGCATAAACAAAATACTTATTATGAGTGCAGTCTGAAGTGTATTGTTGTCTCGACTGTTGTGTTATTTTGATTTCTCGGCGAGTTTCTCAGATCTTAAGGTAAGTAAAATAACTGTTTTTCTTTTGGTTATTGTGAGAAAACGCTTGACTTAAATTCCTTTGCATATTTCTAAGAATATTTCGTCCTTTACTTCGTAAAAGAATCACGAAACTAATAGCGAGGAGAAAACTTACAGAGTATCTTCAAATTACGGCTCGTGTTTTTGGGATACGATTCACGCGTTAAAACAACAATAATACAAAATTAGATTGATACTTTTTTTGAGACTTTTTCGCGTGCGTTGAAGGATATTGACTGAATTATTAATAAAAACAAAATTTTAAATTTAACTCCGATTTATCACCAATAAATTATAATGGCAAATATGTAGCGCATCTTCTTTTACATTAGAGTTTCGTTTCACATTCGCTTGTTTTTCGTTTTTATTTACAATTAATGAAATAAATACGGTCGCAAAATTTCCAATTGTAGTTATTTTGTATTTTGTAAGACACAAGCTTTGAAAAAAACGCAAATGCTGATGCAGAAACTTTTGTGTTCGTTTTAACCTTCTTTCGCGGTCTTGTTAATTTAAGGATCATAGAAGCGTCAGTTTTGTGAGAATCGTATTTCGAATTCGGCTATAAAAATGGGTATTTGCGATTCAATTATTGACCCAAAATTTCAAAACGATTACTTAAACAAGAAAAATGGCGGCATGCTCCCTGTTTTTATTTTTACCTGGTATATTGGTTTTCTCTGTTAATATTTAATCTTTTCAATGTGACAAACATATAATTTTTTAGGTTGGTAGAAAATGCAGCGAGTAAATGAAAGCAAGAATAAAATTTTGGATATCCTAAAAGAATTTGATATAGATACCAATTTTCCAGCATACCTTATTGATCTCCTTGCATACACCGGATATTCTAATCATAAAGCTCTCAGTTTATTAGACGACGAAGACATCGTAAAACTTGAAGATTTTGCAAGAAAAACTTTACCCTTGTTACTTACAGAAGAGGAAAAAATAAGTTTTTTTGGAATATTTATTAGAAATCTTCCTGTGTTTTGCATCGTGGATGGAGACAAAAAACTACTACAATTTTTGAGAACAAAATGTAAAGAATTTGAAGAAAATAAGCGAAAAAGACTGAATACTAACGATAGAATAAATAATCGCCAAACAAAAAAAAAAAGAATATCTGAGACACCAGGTACATCTCAAGCTACATTCCGAGGTACATCCCTTTCTAGTACGGCTTCTGATAATGACTGCGCTTTATCTTCTGAAGAAAATAACTCGGAAAATAATGAAAGGATCCGAGAGCACATAAAATTGGTTGTTCGCTCCTATCAAGAAAAATTCTTGAAAAGCATAGGAGCAGAAGAAAGTTCTTGTCTTCAGGAACAAGCAACCAACGATATCATTGTTGAAGTCAAGGATGACGTGGCGTTTATTCAATGTAGTCGATGTGATTTTAGGTCAAAGGCATACTGCGAAATAGATAAGAAGAGAAATAAAAAAAGTGGGTCCTTTCAAACGTCAATAGGCACTTTAAAACTCATTTTAAATTACCCTCCGAAAAATCTACAGTTAAAAAAAAATAAACTCGAATATAAGAAAATATTTTTTACCGTCTAATTCATCCTTGCCACCAGAATGCCCAAATTCACGCCCATTAACAAACAGAGAAATAGACTTATCAGAAGAACAATCTCCAGAAACTATGCAGGAAATCTCGCAGGAAATAGACTTTTCTGAACAGAACTTGGAACAGGACATAAATCAGGATATTTGTAATTCTGTAATTTCAATAGATGACAGCAGAGGTGAAACCGAGGGTAAAACGGTGTGTAACTTGAATATTTCGCCGGCTGAAAACACGCCTAAAAGTCGTTCAAGAACGGAAAAAAAATTTCCTACCAAAAATTAAATTTTGATTCTAGTCAGACTAAAATCACCGACTTTTATAAAATTTGTGAAGAAATAAAAAGTCAAATACTTAAAAACGCAACGCTAAATAAAGCTTTTTCAACATCAGCAAACATTTTTTGTGAAAATAGACAACCAGAAATGTTAAATAATGAGTGTCAAAAACTTGGCCCAGAATCGTTTTTTGAAATGCTTATAAGAGCCGTAAATAAAAATTCTTCAGAAAGCTCTTCTGCTAATCGGTACCCAGATGAACTAAAAAATCTGTGCCTTTATTTGTTTTTAACTTCAGGGCGTCTTGCATATGAGACTCTGGTAGCTAATATTCCAAACGGACTTCCTTCTGTTTCAACTTTAAGTAGAAGCTTGTCAAAAAATTATGAAAAATGTGGAGAAGGAGAATTAGCATTTGGTCAGTTAAAAGAATTCTTAGAAAAAAGAAATTACCCTCTTCGGATTTTTATTTCAGAAGATCAAACGGCTATTGTGAGGCGACCGCGTTATGATCAATCAACCAACCAGTTAGTAGGCTATGTTCTTACTAATTTGGAACACACTGGTTTTCCGAAGACGAATCAAAACTTAATAAATTCAGTCTCTAATATTAAAAATATTATAGAAAATAGCGATCTTGCAAAAAATGCCTATGTTTTTATGGCTCAGCCTTTACAAGATGGGGCTGCCGCATTTTGCTTGACTTTGTTTGGGAGTAATAACACATTTACACATGAAGATGTATTATTAAGATGGAAATATATACAACAAGAAACCACAAATTACAATATTGTAGTCGATGGAATTTCTTCTGATGGGGATTCTCGTTGCTTAAAAGCCATGAAAATAATAGCCGGACTTCCTGCTTTCTCCAAACAAGAGACACCGTATTCACCATACTTTCAGGTAATTTTTTTATTTCTCTGGAATTAAACAAAGAAAGAACCGAGGAAAGAACTAAGTAGATTATAAAAATTGTTTTTTTTTTTGGATTATTTAAATACAAATATATTTCCGGTTTTTTCTAATGTTCATAAAAGTAAATTTATTTACCCTTTCAGGCAAATTTTGACATAAATAATCTAGTGCCAATGCAAGACACAGTACATATTGCCACTAAAATGAAGAACAGATTATTGAATGAAAAAATTGTGTTGAAAATGGGAAATTACGAAGTGTCGAAGGATCATCTAACCGATTTGATTAACACTGTTTCCAAAGACAAACATTTATTATGCCTTAGTTATCTGGATAGTAAGTAACATTACTGCTTTTTTTATACAGGGTGTAATTACTAAAAGTAAATACCCAGTTTCTTTCAGTCCTTTGTGAAAATTTGCTTAGCTTTTATTTTTCGTTGTTAGGTTCGGATAAAATGAATTTTGAAGCCATCGACAAATTGTCGTCCACTCGTGTGATCAGCTTACTAACCAGTGATGTATGCAAAGCTACCCGTCAGTTGCTTGTTCTCACTCGATACATTTTGGATTCATACTTGGATAAGTCATTATCAATAGAGGAAAGAGTTTACTTAATTTGGTATGTAACGCTCTTTTTACGTCTATGGAGAGCTTGGATTAAAGAACAAAGCAACTACACCTTGGCAAAAAATTGGCTCACTCTGAATACATATACTTGCATAGAATTAAATGCACATGGTTATATGATCCTCATTGAAAAGTTTAGAAGCAATCCTGAATTTGTGTTACCATGGATTTATAGCAGCCAACCGTGTGAAAAATTCTTTAGGCAGACGAGGTCGATGACATCAACTTGGTCAACTGTCGTAAATTTTGACATGCTGGATTTGTTAAGAAGAAGACACAGAATTCAAGCTATAAATAGTATAATAAACGATTCAGGTAAAGTAAATAAAGAAGCTTATTGGATATTGTATAGCATTACATAATAGTAAGAAAAGAAAAAGACATATTAAGTACAGCTTACCTTAGTTTCGAGCTTAGTTTATTAATTTTAATTTTTTTACTAAGCATGAAATTGTGTCTAATGCAATAAATGTAACAGAAAATCTCTACTACTTAGCAGTACTGTGGAACTCACTATTAGATGCGACAAAATTTCATTAAATTTATGTAAGTGGTGGGTACTAGAGATGACTTTTAAAATTATACTGAAGAAATTTAGGCCTAAAACAGTATTTGTGGTAACAACTAATTATTGCACTGACTCGATTTGCTTAGCTTTAAATCAGCCATTAATCAATAATTTAATTGTTGCTTACTTACTTACTTAATTATATGTGTTTTTTAGGAGACAAATTCGTGTTCCCCAGAGAGAGAAACAAGAAGCTAGGTGCTAATTTAAGAAACAAAGAAACATTTATTCCGCCAACCGAAGAATTACGAAATGTTATAATAAAAGCCAGAGATGATGCAGTCAATGATTGTAAAATACTAGGAATAGATATGTTAGAAAATCAGTGGGAGGCAGCTTTAACGGAAGTCTCTATTCCAAAGCAAGATGATTCTGACCATACAGACAGCAATTTTTTGCTTCAATCCAATGTTACCTCGACGGCACTTCAAGATGAAGCAGAACAATTATCAGAAACCCAATTAACCGCAAATGAAGAAGATATACAAGATATTAACAAAGATGAAGAGATTTTGCAAAATTTTACATCCTTAGATATAAAAGACCTAAGCGGATGCAAAACAGACATATCAGACATCTCTTTAATCAAAATTAAAATTAATGATAAAGAAATGGTAGTTAAAAAATCAACTTTATGTTGGCTGTTTTTCAAAAGAAAAGGACGCTTGTCGAGCGATAGGTTAATTCGATGCAAAGCTATGAGTGGACCAACGAGTTCCTCAAAAAAAAGAACATCAGGTATTAATCAAAAAATAGGCAAAAAATGTGTCAACAACCGGGTCAAAAACACAGAAAATTTGAAAACTCAGAAGACTCAGCAGAAGAAGAAAAGTGAGAATATCTCAGATTCTGAGACTTCAGTAAGTGATTCGTTGTCTGTTCATAGCGAGTTTGAGAATGAAACCTTTTCGGAAGACGATGATTCTGAAATAAGCTCGGAAGTAAGTAATATAAGTCGAAATATAAGTATACAACAGGAAGCTTATTATGCAGTATGCTACGAAAGCTGGTATATTGGAAGGATCATAAAAGTGGTAGATAATGCAAAAAGTGAGATAAAGTTTTTAAAATTAGAACTAGATAAGTATGTTTGGCCAAGAGAGGACGATAAACAAATTGTTAACAATAAGTTCATTTTTTATGGTCCAGTGTCATTAATGGGTAATGGACCTTTTCATTTAAGACGAAATGAGAAAATAAAAATTGAGCAAATTTTTAAGACCATTAAGAAAGAGCTAAAAGAGTTTTTGTAAAATGTTTTGTTTTTTAGACATGTTTCTTAATATTTTTTTTATTAAAATTTTTTGTAAGACATAGGTATTCGTTTATTGTCTTCTACAAAACCCTTAAAAAACTGCCCGTATTTATTAAAAAATCTGATAAGGCTTCAGCATCGCACATAATTGGGCGAAAAATAACACCACACTATCACCCCGCGCAATCCTACGAATAACTGTGCAATCCAGCGAAATCTTGCGCAATCGTGCGAAATCCGGCGCAATCGTCCGAAATCCGGCGCAATCGTGCGAAATCCGGCGCAATCTTGCGAAATCTGGCGCAATCATGCGAAATCGCAAAAAAATCATGAGAAATCCCAGTTTTGCGCAATACTGTCACAAATGTTGCTTAGTGGTTTGCCCCTCGGTTAAAATTATTATCATGAACGCTGAAATTTCCATCAACATATATATTGTACTTACTTCACACACAGAGATGCTCTTGGAGCTAACGCATCTTTGTTAATAAACTCATCCACAGTTTAGTTCTCTCTACATTATTCTTACACACAGGTAACCTAAGTAACCTGTACCACGTTTGCTTCGATTTTAACCCAGAACACAACAACCGGCAAGTTTCAGTTTTTAAAACAAATACACGACGAAACACGTTCTCTCTGGCAAACACGAAAACACGATGACAAATTGAACGAATATCAACAGTGATATCAACGAAAGCAGGTTATGATCTGTCTGTGGTTATGATATCAACACGATGCCGTCAGATGTTATCGGCCATTTTGACTCCAAAGGAGTGAACAAATCAATTGCGGTACCTACTCTACTAATCTAGGGACTTTAGGGATAGACTGATCAAAGATCATTATACACTAGATGAACGGCGTAAATGAGCGGATTGGCAACCGCATGTTTAGTTCCGCCCAAGCGACTATTAGTCCAGGGAATAGAGGGTTTTAGTATGCAAAATGAGAAGTAGTTCCAATTTCTTTTGCATGTCGTAGACAGTCATCTGGTGGTTAAGAATCTAAGTTTTCGACCTCCCACCCCTTGTGCTTCCCCCGTACCACCCCCAAAACCCCTGAAATTTGGTAGGTTTCTTAGTTTTTCAATCATATCTTTTGTATAGTTTACTTTAGAAAAAAATATTGTTATCAGAAATTATAGACCATAAAATTCTACACAACTTTGATATACACTACTTTTTTGTGAAATGTTTATTAAAAAAGATATAGAGCTTGAGAGTTGGTTATATTTTTAAGAATTCTGAAATTTCTATGTAGGTGTTTTAATCAAATTTCATACTTTTACACTATAATTAAGAGTTTTATGAGAAAATATCTTGAATTTATCGTAGTATAAATCCCTCTACTCTGCACCCTTACCAAAGGGGATGCATAATAATGAAACTTGCAACCCTTGCTAGTGAGGATATTTGAATTACTGTGAGATTATAGCCCTTTCTAATATACTTTTGAAATGAAAAAATTGTCTCACTTCAGTTCAGTTTAACCCCCCTCCCCCTCTCCCCCCCGCGCGGAAAGAATAGATATTTAAACGCTCTTGTGGCGATTGTGAAGTTAGTCAGAGAATACAACGCTTATTACATAATATTTTCTATTCCTCTTAAATATCTATTCCTACCGTGGTTGGGGGGAGGGGGGGGGGATGAAGGATGAAGCTGAACTGAAGTGAAAATAATTTTTTGTTTCAAACGTATATTAGAAAGCCCTACAATCTCACAGTGATTCAAATATCCCCACTAGCAAGGGTTGAAAGTTGAATTATTATGCATCCCCTTTGGTAAGGGTGCAGCGTAAGGGTATTTATGCCACGATAAATTGAAGATATTTTCTCATAAAACTCTTAATTATAGAGATAAAGTATAAAATTTGGTTAAAACATCTACATACAAATTTTAGAGTTCTTAAAAATATAAGCAACTCTGAAGCTCTATATCGCTGTTAATAAACATTTCACAAAAAAGTAGTGTATATCAAAGTTGTGTAGAATTTTATAGTCTACAATTTCTGATAACAATATTTTTTTGTAAAATGAACTTATAAAGAGATATGATTGAAAAACTAAAAAACCAACCAAATTTCTTTGGTTTTAAGGGTGGTACGGGGGAAGCACAAGGGGTGGGAGGTCGAAAACTTGGATTCTTAACCACCAGCTAGTCTTTCATGACATGCAAAAAAAATTGGAACTACTTCTCGTTTTGCAGGAAATGGTCCATTTTCAATCTCTATTTCCTGGACTATATAGGGGGCTTTTGACTTGAAGCGCATCATCGGAAGCCCGCGAAGCCGTAATCGTGCGTATCCGACACACGAGACTCGTTATATTATCTCTTCCATGACCCCATTCAACATTCCTTCGCTTATTTACACATATCATATTACATTTAAAAGGATTAAAAAAAATATGTGTAGGCGTTTGTGAGATTACTATAAGGTAGCGAATGCGCGTTATCAGATTTCCTGGAATTTACGTTTCAGTACATTGAATACATGGTTTTCTTATTTATGTTTGTTCTTTTTGATGGAGATATTCTATCGATTTTGAATGTTGATAAAACATTCACTCTATAGGGTGTAACATTAAGAGTTACGCCCCTCGTTATATTTTCATTTTCTCTTGAAAGCATACGCATAGCACGCACAAAGGTCAGGGAATCTGGCAATACTTTGGAAGCAGGATTGCCCAAACCTTATCCTGCCTATGCTGCTATCATCCTGCCTCATCCTGCTTCCTATTTCAGCTCAGCAGCACCAACCGTTTTGGAAATATCAATTTTTGAAGTTTCGTTGCTGACTTCCGTCCCAGCAACACTTTGTAAGCAGGATCGTCCAAACCTTATCCTGCTTGTGCTGCTATGTGTACATGTCATCCTGCTTCATATTTTAGATCAGCAGCACCAACCGTTTTGGAGCTATGAATTTTTGAAGTTTCGTTGCTGACATCCGTCCCTGCAACACTTTGTAAGCAGGATCATCCAAACCTTATCCTGCTTGTGCTGCTATGTGTACATGTCATCCTGTTTCATATTTCAGATCAACAGCACCAACCGTTTTGGAGAATGATTTTTTGAAGTTTTGTTTCGACTTCCTTCTCAGCAATCTCAGCAGTCTTAAAATGGCATGATAACCAATTATTCATTGAAATTGTATTCACCGTGGGATAAACTCAATCATCAGTTAATTAGTGTGTATGCTACCGTCCCAGTGTATAACACAAAGGACCTAATGAGTACCTCTCGCGATTTTTGATATGATATAATTAGATTATAGGCATTACCTATAGGACACTGTACATCTTCTGCTTATTCATTGTAGGTATTAAAGAAGTCATAGATAATATTGTTTAATATTTATATTTTATTGTAACATCGAAGATACTTAACAGCTAGATTACAAAGAATAAAGCAACAAGTGCGGATTGATCACTTTGGCAGCACTAGCGTTTTGATACTCTTTACTGCAGTCGTCATAGGTTTCCCATTTGCCATCAATCCTTCGGCAATATGCTATATAATGACCAATTGCCGAAAAAATTGATGGAATTGGTTCCTCAAAATGAGCTGCTGCTCTTAAGAGGTAACTTTTATTCTCTAATTTAATCGATAATGGTATATCAGATAATGAACAGTGGCCTTTGTCGCACTCTATAAAAACGTACGGTCTATATTTTCTACTTACATCGAGTGTGTGTTTACACTTTCTGCAACACAGAGCTGAATCGTTTTTGGATAAATGTTCAAAATAATGTTGCATGTTTATATAAAATTCTTCATTAATATTTAACACTATAAATGGGACCAGTCGACAATTCGTAAAACTGCATTTATCGCAGTTCATATTTTCTACGGCACAGTGCAATTGATCAATAAAAGTTGATAAAACATATGAAATATTGCTTGCACAATTCACTGTGGTAATAACTCCGTTGACCAATGTATTAGTTTGAAAGCTTTTGGAAGAAATTATTAAATCGGCTCTTTTCTTCAAAATAGCAGTTGTTGCACCGACTTCCAAAAGCCTTGCAACAAAATTAAAAATCTCATTTTCTGATATTTCGCTCTTCATAAATGTTTGTACTTCTCTACTGTCACTATATGCTGAAGACATCATTTGTACTACGGCATCAAACGGGCATGTGTTTTGCAGCAGAAACTTTTTTTTGTTACCGTAAGACTACTTTGGACAGTTTTTGAGGTTTTTTCTTTTTTTTTTACCTTATTTTATTTCGAATAGAACCAGGTTTTTTTTCGTAGGTTACTACACCGTTCCGCTATGACTTGCTGAAAAAAATAGTTTTTTTTTCTCTGGTGTCCGAATTTACCTACATATGTGGGGTAATTTCGGACATGTATTTAAAAATGCATAAAATTGAAGTTCTACGAGTTAAAAAGTAACTTCGGACACAAATATAAGTTTTTAAAAAAAAAAGAGTTGTTTTCACATAGAAACTCAAAAAATACAAAAATTCTTCAAATTATTTAACGTGTTTTATTTAAAAAAAAACATTACTATCAAAATATCAGTCAAAAACTTAATTATATAAATTTATATAACAAGTATGAAACTAAAAAACATTTTCTTACAATAAACAAAAATAAAAAACTCTTGATATATCACAAGTCATCACTCGTTTTTGGTTCAATAATAACGTCTTACTGTAGAACAATCTTTGGCGCGTTAGAAAATTTATATCGTTCCCTTCTTAAAGGCACTGGATTGAGGATCTCAAAAATATCATGACCCTCAATATAGCTCTGGTCAGGAACATCCGGAAAGTGAAAGTAGGTATCTTTCTCAGTCTTTTTTTTTCTTAAAAATCTTACTTGAAGAAGGGGACTTTCAGTATCTTCACCCACCTTTTCTATAACTTTGGCTGCATAATATTTTATATCTGAAGAATGTTCTATCGGAACCTTTACTATGACAAACATTCCAGGTTTAACGTTCTGAACTTCAGGTTTATCTTTCAAGTTGCTGTCGGTTAAATTTTCTTCTTCAAAGTGCTCTGTCGGAAAATCGTCATGATGAGAGGGGCCGGCCTCAAGTAAGTCAAGCCTTTTCTTTTCTAATATTTGGTCCCTCATAACACTTAATGGTTCATCATCAAAGTCTTCTAAGTCTACTTCTTGTCCCACTTGGTTTAATATCGCTTCTGGTGCACTGAAATCTCTGATCTCCACAGCTTTTCCAGCTGTAACATTTATGCGCTTTCTTTTGGTCTTTGTTTTAGGTTCGGGCATCCTCGATGTTTTTAAAAAGTCTAATAAACTGTCTGAAAGCAGTGAAGCATTTGGATCATTATTTTCATCCTGTTGTCTTGGGATTCTCTTTAAAACTTGGTCTGCATTTAGAGGCCATATTCCGGTTGCTCTGAAA